ACTTTTCTAAATAATAGAAAAGATAGTTTCTGCATAACCTCCTACTCCCACATTCAGTCTTTCAGTTTAGCATTTAAGTGCCATCTTTAAAGCAACTCCTTCAACACTTATAACTCATCCTGCGGAAGCATGCTTCACTTCTTCTTCTTCTTCTTCTTCGCGAGTGAACCAAGTCTATTTTCTTGCTTTCCCTTTTAATGTCCATTCTCGTTCTGCACTAAGCTAGTCCATTCGAGATTCTGCCAGTCCCAAAATTCTTCTCAATCAACTGCCCCAGCTCAATGCAAACCAATCTTTTGACCCCTCAGTGCTATCTACAAGAGGAGTATTGTGGTGATACTCAATGCCGATTGGTTTCCTTCGATCACAACAGTTTACTAACACGGAGGAAACTTGTTTTGTTAAGGCATTTTTGCAGAGTGGTATCGTTTGTTCTAGCAAAAGGAGCTGTTCGCCTTTAAATTTCATCAGACATCAAAGCGTAAGAGGATTCCATTTCTGACAGGGGGTTGGAAATCCACGCTTCCACAAGCCACGATCGATGGTCATGATGACAATGCGGTTTTTGCTGTAGAAGGTGATGATCATAGGACTTAAAATGGTAGCAGAAATTACATTTCAAGCATATTTGATACTACAATCATCACTGACGTCATTATGCATCGTCTTTCATCGTCCCGTAAACCTTCGCATTACCTGGCTACATGCTTCTGTGTGAATGAGTGGTTGATGGTCTGATTCCACAGCTCACAGTTTAATCAAATCGTGCTGGTTTCGATAAAAAAACTTCATGGAAGACTTCACATTTTTACAATGTAATGGTCCATGTACATTCCTTGTGATATTCTACAATTTATAGGCGTATTCGCTGAAATTCCATTCTGCTTTTCTCAGTGTTCCTTATCGTCTTCATGTCGATAGGTACAATGTTTGAGCGGGCTATTGTCAATGCAATGCGTCGCTCTTCACTTTTTAAAGCTCTGTCAAGCCTGATGTCTCGAGTTGACTTGAATACTCCTCGATCTTACTTATTGTCACACATGCAAGTGAAATTTTATCGGATTCAGGTCTCAACGACGTACGACTCCAAATAGTGCAGGATACGAGGAAGACGTTTCTTCGAGTCGGCCATAAAGCCACCTTTACATGCACAATGGTGCCAAGCATAAGCGAAAAAATATTTGAATCTGTTCTCCACTGGACACTGTTCGACAATGGCAGCAAATTATATCAACCCAGTATCGACACATCCAATCTACCGCCAGGAAAGTACAACACTTCCTGTTGGTCGAGTTCTCTCGCGTTTCCGGTGATTAGGTTGTTTTACATAATTGGTGAGTTTAATGCTTTGTTGCACTCCATAATTCCACTCTTCAAAACGTCATCTTTTCGATTATTTAAGGCGTCGCGACAATAGAAGTGCCTGTTTTTATAATTATTCTCATTGGGAATGCTTCTAATCCTCTCATAGTGTAAAACAATTGTTACCTTTATGAATTAAAAGTCTGTAGTCCAAGGACTCAGTAAAAAAAGGATTCTAAGTGCATTTTCTCACATTTCTCCAAAAAGACAAAAGAGCAAAATTAATGATTGAGAATCCGAAGAGGAGGACCTATATGGCTGGTGAACAAATGCCCCGTTGTGTGTGGAACGAAAGATGGATGAACGACCTGCCCGAACTTGTCCCGAGTAATGTCACACGCGATTCGCAGAGCGGTCGAAAGGTCATTCGCGCGATAACATGCACTTTTAAGCGCGAAGACATTTTGGAAAAATACTCGAGTTCCATCGTTATCATCAGTAGGTCATCTTATTGTTTGCTATCAATTAAAAGGTTTTGGATTCGAATCATTTGTATTGCAAGAAGCAAGCATTGTCTCCCATTCTCTGCTCATGCGGGAGCCTAACCATTGGTTGTTTTATCTTCAAGGTTTTTTATGCTCTCCATTTTGCATGCTGCCAGTTTTACAGCCATCCATACCATTTGTAAGTTCCGGAGGAATTAAAAAGGAAGAACGACTTGGCATTATGGCTATCAAGGCAGAGAGCACAGTCTTAAAAAATGCTAATCGACAGATATAAAGTTGTGATAGTGGAGGGACAGGAGGGCCAAAGCGAATCCCTTTCGTGTAAGGCTTTTATTATACAGGCGCCAAACAGATCGACTTATTTGACAGAATGATCGCAGCCCTACTTTACCTAATTTTTGGAAATGAAACACCTCTTAAGTTTACAAGCTCGCATACGATCTAAATATTTGTTAAGCACGTTGTTTGAAGCGAGTTTGGGACACCGATTACCACACATTTTTATCGTTGACAGGGAAGGAGGATCTTCGGCTAAGACTGAGTAAATCCTATGCCGTAGTGCTGAACGAAACTCCAACAATTGTTTGTGATTTGGATCCCCCAATTGAGGGGGTTGGAAAGCCTTACTTTTATCCAGTGCGAGAATTCCGTTTTGCTCAAATCAGAGACAATCGGATAGTCCCTGGCAACTCCAATTCTACCTCCTCCAACGGTACATACATTTGCATATTTGACAAACAGGACCTCTATTTGACAAAGATATTTGTCATATCAAAAGTGGGTGAGTAATCTTCACCAGTGTGAAGCATCCTCTTGCCCATGGTGCTTTGCTGAGATGGAAGCATTTCTGTTTAGATTTATCAATGAGTCCGTTGATAATCCCATCGAAGAGAGAATTCATCAGCGGGGAGAAGGTGGAGTGTTCCGGCACCAAAAAGACTCCATCTGGCTACTATGCAATTGATGTCTTCTACAAGGGTACTCACATTCCACTGGTCAACAAAAAACAAAACCGCGCTACCCTCTTCTCAGCCTTTGTAACTGAGATTACCATTTCCTGCATTTTAAGAAATTCCTACCTAAACATCGAGCTCGGAGTTAAAAATGTCACACTCAGCGCCCTTGTTAGACGTAAGTTGCCATCCTCACTTTTACAAAGCTGGAATTTTTTGCCGTACTTTGAACTTAGACTTGCGTTTAAAATTTAATTGGACACTGTCGTTCACTTCGACTAGAAGTTGGAATCAAATTGTTACCTGCTTGACTTTAAACAAAGTATTAGAGCAGGATTTGATGAGAATAAAATTTACCTTCCTAATCATCAACATCAACTTGGTTTGGTCGTATCATGCCAAAAACCTTAATGTAAGTGTTTCGGAATTTTATCATTTTTTTTTCACACTTTAGTAGGTGTTCCTCGTCAGAGTAGAAGAAAATTTGTTCATTCGTTCATTTATAGTGCTTAGCAATATACGTGGTACTTCAAACATTTTTTTAGCTAAAAAATTGATCAAGTTGAAACCCGGAGATCGAAAATATGTGGATACCTCTGCAGTAGTCCACTGCGCTTTCGACAGCACCCCAAAGATCGGCCAACATGTGACGTTGAATCTCTTCATCTACCCACTTGGCTATCGGCACAAGGTTGAGAAGATTTCATTATTTTCCTTCCAAGAGCAGGGAATTATTGGAGGTCGTTATTTCTTTACATGTACAATCGTCGATAATGATGGACCGCTCTGGGCAACCATTGATGAAGTCGTCCTCCTTGGTATGCATTCTACTCTCCCTCTCGGTCCACAGCATCAATGTTTCTGAAATCTCCCTCTCTGACAAGATAAATATACCGAGTGGAAGCAGGGGATGTTCCCATTTTTCGATTTTAGAGGCGCCAGCAATTCCCAAACTATCAGAAAAACATATATTTGGGGATCAGGGTCTTTATTGTTGGACTGCAGAATACCCCGTTTGGAACCGCCGACTGATTGCTTCAACCAAAAGTGAGAACGGCGAGATTGTGAAGGGAGAAAAAGGTCTCTACCGGTTCAGTGATCAGTCCTGTTACGGATATTACAATGTCACTTGTGAGGCATATGGATACTACCACCTTATCGCATTCCATTTTCGCACCACGTACCAAGTCCACTACACCGGTAAGTTGATCGACATTGCACAGAGGCCTTGACGCCTTTTCTGTGCGTCTAGTGGCAGCAGCCTGAATCTTTACTTCCGAAGTCATTAACAGAAGAGTGTTCGTCGAAAAACTGCTGAGGCTAACTTTTAAATCGCATCTATTTATTCCAAAGGGCCGGAATATGACACAAGGAATGCCGTTGATATAAACAACAAGAATATCATCCGCATTTGTTCGCTCTTCATCCTGGTGGTCACCAT